TTGAATTATTCAATTTGAATTATTCACGAAATTGAATTATTCAATTTGAATTATTCACGAAATTGAATTATTCGTGAGTCTTGCGATGAAATTGTAGATATGACTATCAATATTTTTAGAGGGCTTCCTGATGCCTACTCCGCATGACAAACGCCCTCCCCGCGTAGCACAAACTAGCAGGCTCTTACTGCTCACGCAACACAGATATTTTTAGAATCCGCAGACAGCATTACAAGTTCCACTCTTTCAGACCCAGACATTTTTGCAATCCATAATTCGTGCAGGTGTACCAAAAGGAGCTGTCCGAGGCCCGGGACTTGCACGTGCGGAGGCTGTATCAAATGTAAAAATGTCTGGGTCTGGAAGGGTCCAAGGTTTGTCATGCACATTTTGCATGACTCCTGATGTCTGTGATGCATGCCCTAGCATCACAGATTTTGTCGTGAGGGCTTCCTGATGCCTATACCGCATGACAAATGCGCTTACCGTGTAGCAAAACTTGGACTCTCTTTGCTGCTCATGCAATACAGATTTTTTTAGAATCCAAATGCAGCATCACAAGTTCCAACTTTCCAGACCCAGACATTTTTGCAATCCATAGGCTGACGAACTTCGTGACGAACGTGAAGCTGATCAAGCTGCAGAACTGGGAGCAGCGGTGGTTTGACCTCCTACAGGAGGCCCGGGCGCTGGAGCTGCAGAGCCTGTGGCGGTCGCAGGTGGCGCAGGCGGCTGCGGATGCCTTCACCCAACTGATCGAGGAGTGCGTGTTTCCGGTGATGATTGCGGTCTTTGTGTTAACCGACCCGACCGCGGTTCTGCTCCCGGAGAACGCGTTCGCCGTCTTCCTGATCAGCGAGAAGCTGAAGCACCTGGTGGTCGGACGGACAAGGCACCTCGTGCGGGTCTGTGCGAAAACCGCGCCGACCTTCCACCGGGCGATGCAGTTTTTGGAAGACTATGACCACGCAGTGTATAATGATGCTGACTCAGTAGAGCTTCCTCGTGCAGGAGCAGACGTAGACCACCACCCAGAGATCAAACGAACTTTTGGCGACAACGAAAGTGTCGTCGTGCACGTCGACGACGAGAATTCCAAGCCTCGGGTTCTGTCGAAAAACTCCTTTACCGCGTTCACGAATGTGCTGGATTATGATAAAAGGACGGTAGAGGCTACTACTAGTAGGAGCAGCCTGCTGTCGATCGTTCTTGTTGCGGAGGAAGCGGACGCGCAAGAAGATGCTATGTCGGAAAGAAGTCCTCGAGTGGTGCAACATCTTGAAAATCTGACTGGAAGCACTACTACTACCACCACCGCCAGCTGCAGCAACAGTGGCAAGAACATAGCGATCAGAGGACATCAACCACCGCTCGACGCAGGTTGCAGCTTCCACCTCGGTTACAGTCCTAAGAGTGCAGCTATACCTGGGTCGGACAGTACTGGCACCACGGGAGGAGACGAGTCGAAGTTAGCGACAGAAGAAGGTGGACGAGAGCAACAACAAACCGACACAAGCGTGACTTTAAGCGAGTCGGGAAAAGATGTAAAGTCGTCGCCTGGATTTCGTCTCGAGGTCCCGCTCGCCATGTTCGGCGAAGTAATGACGACAAAGCAGGAATGGAATTGCAATCATCGTGGTACTAGCGCAGTAACAAGCCTTTCGCTTTCATCCAAGAAAACTGCTACGAAGAGCGAAGTGGAAATCGTCCCTGGGCAGCTGATTTTAGTCGTCGGGAAGGTCGGCTCCGGAAAGTCGACACTGCTGCAGGCGCTCGGGAGCGGGAGTTTCTCGGGTTACTCCGACTTGATCCTGGACGACGGAAAGAAGTTCGTTCACGAAGAGGCAAATTCTAGTACGTTCGCGGCTGCTGGTACAACGGAGATCGATCTGTTGTCGTTGATGACCTCCACCACGACCTGCACAACTTCTCCGGGGCCGAACAGCCAGAAGGACCACCGAGAGACCTCCACAGGCGCACCCGTGCGTCGTGAGTTCTTGCTTTCTAGCAACAGCCCGCTACCTGCCAGGAAAGTTTCAAGCAAAACGACGCGCATTTTGATTCCGCGCGACGTGAAAACGGCCTTTGTCGCACAGAAGCCGTTTCTTATGGGTGGGAGCATCAAGGATAACATTCTTTTCAAGAAAAAAAGCGTCACGACGGAAGATGCTTATCATGAGGCTGGCGGCTTGCGAGAGAAGGAACAACGGGAAGCTAATAAAGTAGACGATGCTTCTGTCCTCTCATCCACGACCCGCGAAATAAACAAGAATGCACTGTACGACACCGTGATCGAGAAGTGCCAGCTCCGGCCCGACCTGAACCGCTTCGCGCCCGACTACGACGGCACCCTGGTGGGTGCCAAGGGCGTGCAACTGTCCGGGGGACAGAAGACGCGTGTCTCCCTCGCGCGCGCGCTGTACGCGGAGCCGGAGTTACTTTTCCTGGACGATGTGTTGTCGGCGGTGGACGCGACGACGGGCGAGAAAATCTGGAGCGAGTGCGTATGGGAGCCGTGCGTGGTCGAGAAGAAGTGCGCGGTCGTCCTGGCCACTCACCAACTGCACTTCCTGCTGGAGTCGATGAAAAGATATGGCACAAAGAACGAGAAGAAAAGCGAACAGGGAAAATCAAAAGCTGCTCAGCTTTTCTTTTCCGACGAAGCCGCTGAGCTGTGGAATAGCGGGAGGGTCACGGTGCTGGAATTGGTGGAGGGGGAAGGTAGTTCTTCCAGTCATTGCACATCAACCCCTTCTAGTTCGACATCGTCGTGCTATCGCGTCAAAAAGATGCAGTCCCTCGCGGACGTCGAAGAGTTTTTGCAGCGAAGCGGCGCGAAGCATGGTGAGCTGCCGTCTGCTGGGACCAATATCAAAACCACGGAGACAACACACCAGACATCAGCTGCTGCAGCCACGCCCACAACTAAACACGAGGAGCTGCATTACTTAGTAGATTTGCTTCCGACACTTCCCGAAGAGCCGTTGGATCTTTCCCTTTCGTCGGAGGTGATACAGATACTAGGAGCACAGGAGGGCGCAGTGGCAGCTCCGGCTATTCTAGGTCCAAGTGAATCACCAGGACTGTTACGCGCAGAAGAATCGCAGGCGACACTCCCCGACTCCTCGCTTGACCACGTTTACAGGCACGAACCCGAGGAACGGATCATGCCAACGACGGCCCTCGAGGGCAAAATTGCACTAGACGGAGATGCAGAAAACAATCCCAGTGATTCTGTGGATGAACAGGACCGCAAAAATATGTTAAACCCGGATGCCGAACAACAAGAACCGATGCCTACAACGCCACGGCAGGTTTTTGCACATCACCAGCAATTATCATCGTCCGCAAAAGCAAAGTCGCGGTCTTCGAAGGCTAAAGCATACTTTGTGTACCCCGGAGCATCGACGGCGCACTTGGGCCCGGGAGCGCTCATGCGGCGACGCTTTGCCTCTGGCGCGTCTTCCGCGGATCTCGACGCCAGTGCGATGGTGGAGGTACTCACTTTGTCGCACGTCACCGCAGACGACGAGTCAGGCTCTCCTGCAAAAGCGCAGGATGACAGTACCGACGAGGCGCCGGATCAACTACCTCCTTTTTTTGGCAGAAGTTTATCGCAGGATAACGATGCTGTTACTGATTTTCCTGCGCTCACGATTGGAGGTCAAGAAGCCGCGTTGTTTTCTTTTCCACCTCGTCTCGCTTCCCTGACCCCAAGGGATTTGAAGCTGTTCGACGACATACAGAAGGAAAGCGAGGCGAAAATTGAGGCTTTTCGAAGGTCGCCGTTGCTACAGGGTGCCAAGACCCCTGTGAGGAAAAGCGATAATTCTGCGACGAGTAAACTGTTTGTTCCTGAACTCTCTCTCTCCTTACAGAATTCCACGTCGAATCCGAAGCTTTCGCTGAGCAACAAGTCGCTATCGACACCCTCGCCGCCAGTCTCGCGGGATCACTTTCGGCTGAGCGTGCTCGAAATGAGCGAACCGGAAGCGGACGGGCAGGGCGAGGGTGCAGCTGGGGAGAAGTTGGAGCCAGATCAGGCAAAGAAGAACCGGCGGGAAGGTACAACTTCTGAACAACGTGATTCAATACTGCTATCGACGGAAAATAAGAATAAAGGCACGAACACTGCCGCCGCTGATTTTGGAGCTGTACTACAGCAGCAAGCGTCTGTTCCCGGCTCTGCGAAAGGGGAGCAAAAAGTGCAGCCGGCGCAGCAGGAGACCCTGGTGAACCCGAACCGGCGCGCCGACGGGAAGGTGCGATTGCGGAAGTCGCGGACTTCTTCGCAGGACGGCAAAACAATATTAAATCAGGAGACTACAGCAACAAAGACTACTGCTTCTGACTTTCTGCAAGCATTGCTGCCGCGCCCGTCATGGCACGGGGCCGCGGACCTTTTCAGTGCCAGTCCGCTGTCCCCGCGATCTTCAACCGCTCTGGATTTTCCGTCCTCAACGTCGCAGCTGGCAACGCCTCTGCTGGGGGCGGCCGACCCGCGGCCTCTGCTGCTGGACCTGCCTCTGTTGGACCACGAGGGAACTACGAACGATGGGAGAAATCGAATTTCGTATGCGATGAACAACACCGACCAAAGTGTGTCGGGCGCACAGAGCGAAGCCACGTCGACAGTGAGCCGGCCGCGTACGGTGGACGCGTTCCGACGGGATCTGGCGCTGGATGCTCTGCTTGTCGACAGTGGGAGCGGCAGGGAGGATCTGCAAGATGCGACTTTGCGCACCCGAATCGCCGCGACCCTCGGCGTTCCTGCTGGCGCTGGCTATAAGGCCCCTTATTTCATCCCACGCTCCGCGCGGACGGATCTGCGCTTGCGTCCAGTGCTGCTCGCCAACGCGGAAACGCAAACCAGTCCGAAGCACGGCGGAATGTTGATGAACGAGACAGGAAAACAAGGGACGGCGACAAGAGACACGACAAGGGGACCAGGAAATCATGTTACCTCTGCACAGGAAGAACAGCCAGAACCTGATCTGTCTGCTGCAGAAATGCGACTGTCCAGCACTCGAGAAGAAGCAGTAGAAACCAGTGATTCCATCGCGCCGCATGTTAATATCATCTCTCCGCCTGCACCTCCCGCTGGCGATGAGCCGCAGTATGGGCCACATTCATCCTCCTCATATTACCCCAGTTCTTTGCTCGTGATGAATCCGGAATACCAGCACCCGGTTTACCTGTGTGAAGTTCTTGAGACCTCGAAGCAGTTGCTGGACGGGCATTTGACGGAGCCAATCAACGAGAAGTTCGTGATATGCAAGAAAAAAAATTTTTCGAGTGTAAGTCTGTGATGCAGAAAGTGCAAAACTGTTACACTTGTCATGCTGAGTCTGCGTCATAGGCTACTTTCACACGTGTTTCCACGTGCTAGTTGCGCATGACAGGTTTTCCCTGCAATGCAAAGCGAATTTGTGATGCTATTCTCGCTACAGAGTTACACTTACACAGTTTTTTTCTTGGATACGTGAAGGAGTTCCAACACCGGCTCCGTTCGAGCAGCCTGTCCACGCTACAGTCGGAACGGGGCGCGGCCCAGCTGTCCTGGCGACTCTCGAAATTCTACCTGGATTTGGCGTTTGGTGGTTCATCTAGAAATAAGACCAACGGCGCCGAAGATGATTCGCGTCGCGACCAACTAGACGACCAAAATGTAGTTGAGGACCATGATGATCTTCAACAAACGTCGGGGACTCAACATGAAAATACAGCGGCTAGAGACATTGACGTACTGGAGGAGGACGCCTCCAGAAACACCAGCAGCAACGAGGATCGTGCAGCCGTAAAAACGCCCGTGTCTTACCTGAATTGGCAGAACCTGCTTCTGGTGATCTCCATGCTCTTGTCGGTCGTGTTTGATATCGGCCAGCAAATCGTGGTGCAGCAGTGGGTACGCATTGCAAAAAATATCGATCTGGGTATGGAAGATTGCGGCAGATGTTTGTCATGCTGTTTCAGTGCC